CAAGTGGTTGGGTCCCCATCCAACCTCATCAATTGTGGGCATTTGGAAAGTGAACTAACAGTTGGGCTCTCCTCTCAATCTCTCTCTGTCTTTCTCTCTGCATATGTACTCTTTCTGCCTTTCTGCCTCCCAAATTAAAAAAAAATGGCATCTAGATTATAAAAGAATAACTAAGTTATCTTTGCAGATGACCTGGTCTTGTACATAGAAAAGACTAAGGGATCCAATTAAATATTAGCACTAATAGATGAGTTTAGCAAAGTTGCAAGCTATAAGATCAGTATACTGATTAATATATTTTTATTTTTTTATTCTTGCAATAAACAATCCAAAAACAAATGCATTTTTAAAAAATTCCATCTTTGATACTACCAAAAAGAATAGGATATTTATGAGTCAACTTTTGCAAAAGAAATGCAAAGTTTATTCTTTGTAAAATATCATTGTTGGAAGCAATGAAAGAAGACCTAATGAAAAAAATTTTTTAAAAAGCTGATGGGGGAAACGGAAAGCTTCAAATTATTAAGATGTCAGTGGTCCCCAAACTGATCAGCACTTTCAGTGCAATCCCCGCCAGAATCTGTGCTTTTTTAAAAAAATGTATTTATTTTATGATACAGCTCCATAGGCTCAGGAATTTTCCTTCTCCCCCCCCCCCCGACTCCACTCCCGCCCGATTTTATTACAACAGTCCTTCAAAATAGTCATAAGTCCATCATTCTGGTATTTAAGTCTGTCCTGACACTGTAGGAAGAGAAAACGACACAAAGTGCAGCATCCTATTGTCAAAATGTATCCAACAGTTTCGTTGGGAATCCATCTTTTACTTGGGAGTAGAGATGTATACTGCAATGTATCTTCACTTCTTCATATGATAGTCTCTGTTATACAGTTCCTCTGCACGTTTACTTCTGTATTGGTTGAGCTGACTTCTTTGTAGAAATGGGCAAACTGTTTCCAAAACTCATATGGAACTGCAAGAAATCCTAGATATTTACATAGGTTGCTAAAACAGTCCTGCAAAAGTATAAAGTAAGACTCAACTTTCTAATTTCAAAAGTTCCTGTGAAACAACAGCAATTAAGTCAGTATAGGATTGGTACAAATTACTGATCCTTGTGTAGCAGAAATTAGGAAGTTCAGAGACAAAGCCGAATTAAAGTAGTTTAAAAATAGTGTTCTCCAATTTTGTATCTCCTAGTGGCACATTTCACTCCACTTGAGTTTTTAAAAAAATGAGAGCAAAATTATGGCTGGCCATAGTTTCAACATTGTATCATCTCAGTTTAGCAATCTCTTTCTCTCTCTCTTTCTGTTTCAGCGATTTCTTCCAGCAGCTATAAGATTAATGTACGTTCCAACAGAGTGCATACAAATGCTGTGCATTATTGCCTTAGACTATGTGTAATGTGCTTCCACAGCCCAGAAAGGCATGCTTTGCTTCAGTACTTAAGAGTCTACTGTAAAGAGTTGGTCCTCAGGGAGCTGGCAAGAATGAATCTGGGCTTCATGGCTTTTCCTGTTGAAGGTGGCATTCCGGCCATCTCTCCTATTTGAAAGGATTGTCTTTGAGGAAGGTTCTTAAAATGCTGGACAGTGTGATGAAGTGGTAAGCTCTGATCCACACACCCTGTAGAAGAGGAGAAGCAGTCATACTTTACAGCACCAACTAACTGAGTTTCCAAGAAAATATCCCCACTTTCTTCTTCACTACCACACTCTCAGCCTCTCCTGTTTGCTTTTCTTTGCTCTCATTCAGACCTTGTAACAGAATCAGAAATGGAGTCCAGGACCTGGTGCGGTAGTGGAGTGGTTAGAGTTCTTACTTGGTGCGCGCCCAGGATCCCATATGGGAGCTGGTTCTAATCCAGTGGCTCCACTTCCCATCCAGCTCCCTGCTTGTGGCCTGGAAAAGCAGTCAAAGACGGCCCAAAGCCTTGGGACACTGCACCTGTGTGGGAGACCTGGAGGAAGTTCCTGGCTCCGGATTGGCAAGTACCGACCGTTGTGGTCACTTGGGGAGTGAATCATCGGATGGAAGATCTTCCTCTCTGTCTGTCCTCCTCTCTGTGTATCTGACTTTGCAATAAAAATAAATAATAAATCTTAAAAAAAGAGAAAGAAATGGAGTCCAAGCAATAAACTTCTTTTCTTTTAGAATTTAGCAAATTATTGGTTTTTGCACCAAATAAATTAGGCTTTGACCCAATACTTCTAGCTATACCCAAAAGCTGTTCACCTGGAACATACCAAATGTCCTGAAATGTTGGCTCTTTGCTCCAGTTTTCCCTGGGATATTTTTGGCAGAAAGTCTTTAAAGGCATTTACGTAGATGCCCAAATTGATGCTAATTCTGGCCACCTCCTGGAATACATTTTTTTTTAAAGAACCTTCCTTCTTCCACCTCCCTCCTTCCTTCTCCCTCCTCCCAACTCAGCATCCGCCCCCCACCCGCCGCCTGTTTCTTTTCTTTCTTCTTCTTCTTTTTTTTCCTTTTCGTTTTGAAAGGCAGAAATAGAATTGCTATCTGCTGACTCATTTTTTTTTTTTCAAAGGCCTGCGACAGCCAGGGCTGGGCCAAGCTGAATCCAGCACCTGGAACTCAATCCAAGTTTCCCACTGCTTGAGCCATCATCTGCTGTCTCCCAGGATGTGCACCAGGACAGAGCTTGAATCAGAAGTGAAGCCCAGATTCAAAATGAAACACTTCATCCTCTGTGAGATGTGGATGTCTTAGTTGTTAGGCCTTTGTACCTACCCCTGGAATGAAGTTGTTGACTGACTTCCGTAAGAAGCTACTGTAGATTAGATTTACTCAATCATGGGACCTCAGAAGAAGTCAGACATATTAACCTGGAAATAAGTTTCATTTGGCGAGGGCTTGAAGATCTATAAATATTACTCCATTCTTTTCAAGTTCGGTTAGGATGCAAATTCATGTGAACTTTAACATGAGTATAGATTCTTTTTTTTTTTTTTTACAATAAATAGCAAAATATTTTATTTTTATGTAAATCATCATTCAGTGAATATTGTTACATTCTGACATATCATGATTGGACATCCTTTTCACAAAAAAGCTTTTCTAAGGAAACAACTTGGAGTCTTCCACATTTGTCAGATGCCTTTTCATTATTGTTCTCCATTTTTGCAATTCTGGATCCAAATTGCATGGCTCGTTTTGGCAGGAGAGCAGAGGCTGTAAGGCCAAGTTCCACAGCTGCCAGACGTAAAATTAGTTTCTCACCAATTCCACGGGGCAAAGTCAGGTTTGCCTTTTCCCAGACTGGAAGGGAGTTTAGGAAAGAGACAACATCTTCATTCAGGAAGGGAAATCTTGCTTCTTTTCCATGATCACCGATAACTCTGTCATCACGACCAAGATTTCTAGAAGAAATTCGACCCAGTTCCATGGCTATTTCCTTATTCAGTCCTTCCAATCCATGTGTCTGAAAGCGAATGCGATGACGAGAATAACCTGCAAGCTGCTCATCGGCACCAATTCCAGTGAGAATTACCTTTGCACTGCTCTCGTAGGACTTCACTGACTCCCGGGTCACCAGCCAGCCAGCGCCTCTGGAAGCAAACCAGACCGCACAGCCAATGCTGTCATCCAAAACTGTGTCCAGGGGATGAACTAAGTGACGTATTTGGGCTCTTCTGAACTTTTGCAGTTCTTCCAGAGAAACATTAATTTCAACAAAATTCCACATCCGAGAAGGGTTAAGAGCTTGCAGTTCCTTCAGGCCTGCCCTCCCTGTGATTCTGTCTGGTACGCAGTACTTGTCATGAGGATTGTCATCAGTGATGATGGCAGCGTGTTTAGTGACCTCTTCAGAAGGCAGCTCACACTCTGTCCGTTTACTCCTTCTCTGCTTACCGCTACTTGGAACAGCCTTTTCTTTAGTCATGAAGGCTACATTTAGAAGATCAACTGGCTCATCTAAAGGAATATGACGGTCAGCAAGGGCAGCAATAACCATGGAATCAACGCCCCCAGAAAACAGGATCGCAATATTTGCTTTCTTCTCACCTGGTTTTAAAACTTCATCTGGTGCTGGGCTTTTGCCCCTACACAAACACAAGACCCGTCTCTTGACTGCAACACTAAGGACATCAATGAACCGCTCCACTACTTCCTTCATGTGTCCGTCAGTGAGACAGACCTGAAGTGTCTCTCTTGAGGGTGGCCTGCTGGGAAGGGGACTGCACAGAGTCTCCATTGGAGTCCGTGGCAACATCATATTTAAAGGAGAAATGGGATTTTCAAGGTACAATTTGGCTTCATTTCCTACCACAGATACAAATGTTGGCCAGTCTGCTGAGACCTGAGGCAAGCTACTATCACATTCTTCGGGAACACCATCCCTAGAAGTACATTTCCAAGGATACAGCTGCAACATGACATGTTTGGAAATGGCAACAGACTCCAGATTAATTCGGAAAATTCCAGATGCTGGGACCTCTTGCCATTGACTTGCTACCCCAGTAGTTTGGGTGCCAACTGAAGAGAGGCAGAAACTCATGTCCAAATTATTAAACCGCCAAAGCAGACTACGACGACCAAAAAAATCCTTACCAAACCATAAATCATGGCTAGATGCTTGATAATATATGAAGGACCAGGGGCCTTGGACTTGTGAGAAGAGTGACACTATATCAGATTCACTCTTGCAGGAGGAAAGGCAACTGAACATGACTTGAGTATCATTCTCTAGAGCTTCAACCTTTATTCCATCAAAGACCTCTCCATTCCATAGGAACACGTTGCCTCTCCCATCTTCCACAGGCTGGGCAGTCAGAGCACCTCTCAAGTGAAGGACATGGCCAGAAAATAAACACCGGTAGTTAGCATCGCATTTTAACAACTGCTTGCTGCAGTCGGGGCCCCGTCGTTTAAGACTGCACAGTAAATCCTCTTCCAAATCTTTATGGAAATGGTCCACAGAAAAGCTTACAGAACAACAAATGCCACACATTATTGTGGGAAATCTGGTTGACTATTTCTTCATATTGGTCTTCTCTGAATTTTCTATTTCTTGATATTCTTTCTTCAATTCATCTAACATATTTTTGCTTTCAGAAAGCATCTCTGCTCGGTCTGCGAGGAAGAATAAGTTGCTGTTCTGCTGCTGTCTATACACCTTCCTATTCTTCTTCAGGTTAGAAAGTTCATCCACAACAACTTTTTGTTCTTTAATCTTACTGCACAGATCCTCCTTGTGTAGGGTCGAGCTGTCGGCGGGGCCCGGCGCGGCCTGGTCCTCGGGGAGCACCCCACGGCCCGGCATCTCACCGACCCGCAGCCGAGAAGGAGTCAGAAACCCAGACAGCGCGTGCGCACTGCGAGCCCCGGCCAGCCTCGGCCCAGCGCGTGCGCACTGCGAACCCTGCCAGCCGGGACCCCATGAGTATAGATTCTTATAACTACTCCCAAAATTGGGATGCAGGTTAGGTTCTGTTACTCCCCAGATCTCTCTCATGCTATCCCTTTGTGGTCACACTCCTACTGCATTCCCATTAATATTGGCAATGATTGTTGATAGAGACATCTTTGTTGTTTCAAAATTATTATGTAAATGAAATCATATGGTATTATATTCTTTCATACTGACTCATTCCACTTAGCATAATGCCTTTGAGATTTATTCGAATTATTTTGTGTGTCAATGGTTCATTCTTTTCATTGCTGAGCAGTATTCTGTTGCACAGCATACTACAATTTATTCATTCACTGAATGACATTTGAATCATTTCCATTTTTGACAAGCATGAATGAAGACACTCTAAAGATTGGTGTGCAAGTTTTTAAGTGAGCAATGGTCTTTATTTCTTTGAGACAAATACTTAGGTGGAGCCTGATTGGGATGTATGGGTTAATAAGAAGCTGCCAGAGCAGACACTGTGGTGCTGCCACTTGGGATTCCTGTGTTCCTTTTGGAATGCTGATTCAAGTACTGGCTCTTCTGTTTCCAAGTCAGCTGCTAGTGATTTTATCCAACACTGGAGATCCAGATTGAGCTTTAGGCTCCTGGTTTCAGCCTGGTCCAGTCCCAGCTGTTGAGGGCAGTTTGGGTAGTGAGCCAACAGATGTAAGATCTCTATATTTCTATCTCTTTTTCTGTGTTATCCTTCATACAAATAAGAAATGAAAAGAAAGTAAGAAATACATACTTATTCTCAAAGCTGTCCAAATTCAGTACTAATACATTTTGATGTAATTTGACATTTCCCACTGCCTTCTTTAATTCAAAATACAGTGAAGTTTGTTGTTGTTATCACATATTTTGATCTCACATTTTTCATTTGGTTAGTCTGTATTCTATCTCTTTGCAGAATTTTTAAAAATTGTTTATTTATTCTCAGAGTATTCACTTGTACTTGTTGGAGTTCTTCTATACTAGCTGCTTCACCTCTCTGTAAGATCATTTCAACATATGCCTCATTTTAGCATTATCATGTACTTACTGTATTTTTCTGTGCAGTTGGGATTTTCCTGCCTCTTCATTAGCTGAATAACTTTGCATCATATTGCAGACATTTTGACTGCCATCTCATAGAAATTTGAATGCTGTTTAAATCATATAGATAATGTTGATGTCTGAATTTGAGCAGATGATCTATCCAATTAAGTTCAGATGATGGGTTTCAACTAATCTTATGTTATCTGATTAAACATCAGTTCAGTTCTCAGAGTCTTTGCAATGCTTTCTTCACATGTGCCCCATTGATTCCCCACTATGGGACCTGGGCATCAGTTAATCTCATAACTTAGCTTTCAAAGACTGCGTTTGCAGTTTAGGGATAGATCAGTATGTGTGTGTGTACTTTGGAGGTGAACTCAGGGGTACATAAATAACTTTCAAGGGTTTCTTTGCCAAGTTCCTTTCCCTCCACAATCTTCCCAATAAATATTTTCTTGGGACTCCTATTTTCTTGTTCTAGGATAGGACAATCCAGGGTGTTACTTAACCCAAGCTATGAACCACTTCCCATGATTGTACCAAGACCAGGCAGAAGGAAGAAAGAAACTCACAATGGAGGTTCATCCCACCCTCTTGGGACTTCAGCTCTTTTGATCATAGGGTAAAGCTTCTCAGTGCTGTTATTGTCAAGATCATTGACTAGAGGCTTTGAGAAAAGAGAAAACTGAAAGAAGAAAAGAAATGTCAATTTTTATGCTTGGAGTTTTAGAAACCCATTTCTCTATCTCTTGAGCTGGAATCAAGGCTTTTGTTGCACTCTCTTTATATACTTCTAGATTTCGGGCTGGGTTGAATTCAGGTTAGAGAGGTTTGGTTTATTTTATTTTATTTTTGATTATATTTAGATAATTGATTAGGGTGTGAAGAATTGAGGATTAGGGGAAAGTGGGTGAAACCATTGTTTCCAAATCTTCTTTTTCTTCTTCCTGTATCTGGGAGAAGGTGGGAAATAATGGGAGAAGGCACACCTAGCTTCCCAACTGCCTCAGTACCTGGACATGGGGAACAGCTGCCAAATGTCATCCCAAGATCCCCGATGTGGAGCATGCTCTGAAGGTTCTGCTAAAGTGGTTTTGATAGTTCTGATATGCTGTCATTCTCACCAACTCAAGGATGAGGAAATCCTTCCTTGGCTGCATGGTCCGACTTACAGTCTCCATTCTCCAGGATATTTGCTGTCAATATTTGGCTGGGGTAGTTGTCCAATTTGTTCTGCCCTCCTTCCAGATGTCCTTTATGGGCCCCAATTGACTGCCATATCCTCCTTATTCATTTGTGCATGCCACCCACTGCTCCATCTAAGCCACTGAGGAGGTCCAGTTCTGATAAATGGACTCCATGACCAGACCACATACCTCTGATTCTCCCCATGGTTGGGGTTCTGAGTCCAGTGATTTAGTTAGGGGCATCCCAAAAGAAATCTGATCTACAATGATCCCAGACCTGACTCATGTGAGTGCTTGCCAGTACAGGGTGCAGCTCAGTTTGTTACCCACATCAACCTACACACACACTGATAATTGCAGTTGTTAGGTCTGTTCTGTCTCCAGTCCTGTCTCTTACACAAACCAATGGATGCTACAACCCAACCCAATCCTACCCACCACACACTTGGCACTCACATACACCAGTGGAAACTGTAGCTTAGTTGGAGCAATCCCCAATAACCTTCACTTGGTCCTCCCCTAACCCTGGTTCCTGTGCTTGCCAATATGTACTCACATCTGGCAGTATATGCACATGTCTCTCCCACATCGCATTTAGTTCTTGTATACATCAATGGGCATTGAAGCCTAGCTCAACTCAGTCAGTCTCACTGTCCAGCTCACACTCATGCTGGTGGGTGCCACCTTCTGGTCTAGCCATGCCTGCCCCTGCCAGCCCTGGTTCTCAAGCTCATCAGTGGGAGTTGCAACCCATCAGAGAAGTGCCCACCATTTCCCTCCTGGCCCACTCCCAGTCCTGGATCTTGCACTCTTCAGGTAGCTTGAATGGATTTGCCCTGATTCCCAGCTGATATTGCAGCAAAGCCCAATTAACCAGCACTTACTCTGGCTAATGAATGCACTAGTGAATACAATCAGTTAGTCCAGCCTGGCTCTCCCCCAGCTGTGTTGACATGCAGTCCAACAGGCATTGTATCTCTATCCAGCACTGTCTGCATCTGGTCCCAGTTTTCACGCTCAACAGTGACCCAGTAGGGAAGTCTCTGCTGTCCCACTAACAGACTCACCTTGTCTTTGCCAGCGGGTGCTGTAGCTTGGCCCAATCTGGTCTGCTCCTAGTTCCAGCTCATGCTGGTTGGAGCCACAGCCTAGCCCAGCCCAGCCAGCCCCCCAGTCCTGACGCTAATGTGAACTGGCTAGTGTTGTAGCCCAGCTTAGCCTGTCGTGCACCCTGTCCTGGTTCTCAGATCCACCAATGGGTGTTATGAAATAGCCCGTCCTGGCCCACCCCCCAAACCTGGCCTCCACATGTGCTGGCAGGTACCATAACTTGGCCTGGTCAGGGCTGCTCCCAGCTTTGCTTCTTGTGCTCACCTGCATGGACTGCATCCTGACAGAGGAGTTCCACAAGCTCCTCTATCAGGTCTCCTCCCAATGGGTCCTTGGTCCAGACTGACTTGGCCCAGCTCATGTCTTGGCAAGAACAGTGGCTTTGCGCAACTGGTCCACCCTATTCCAGTTTTGCTGTTAGGCTCTACAGCTCAGCCACACTTGTTCTACACACAGACTCAGCTCTTGGTTCAGTGGGTGCAGAGACCTAACCCAGTCCATTCTGCAGCCACCCTGGCTCTCACAAACACCAGTGGGTGCTAGAGTTCAGCTCAGTCTGGTGTACCCTAGACCCAGTCCACACTCTTGCCAAGGGACACTACAGTCTTGTGCAACCCAGATCGCTGCCCCCATTCTGGCTCTTACACTCAGCTGTGGGAACCACAACCCAGCAGAGGCATCCCCTTAGCTCCCCAACCAGGCCTGTTCTCTGCCACAGATCTTGCATGTGCCAGTAGTTGCTCCGATCCAGTTCAGCATAGCCCTTCCACTACCTTGGTCAGATACTACATTGGATGCTACAGCCTGGCTGTCCTAACTTGCCCCCAGTCCCAATTCTTGCTGGCAGATGTTGCAGCCTAGCCTTACCCAATCGACTCTCATCCCTGGCTCATGCATGTTGGTTGGTGTGATAGTCTAGTCAATTATGGCCTGCATTCCAGCTTGTCTCCTGCACATGCCCATGGGCTAAGGCTGACTAAGCCATACCAGTCTACCCCCCTCTAGAACCAATGCATACACTTGCTGATGGTTGGAGCTACTTTGCCATGCCTGATCAACACCGAGGCTTAAATAACATGTTTACTAGTGGGAGCTAGGACTCACCAGGGGTGTTTACCAAGCTCCCCCACCAGACTCACTCCCAAGCCTAGATCTCATGCATGCCAGCAGGTGCTAGGCCTTTACCCAGCATAATCTGCCCCCCCTTTCCTGACCTTTGTATGAGCTAGTGGATGTTGTACCCAGGCCTGTCCCACACCCTATTTTTGGGGTGTGCCTGTGGGTGTTACAGCCTGGACCATCCTGACCTATTCCCAACCCCTGTACCCATGAATGTTGAAGAATTCCATGATCATACCTAGCTCAGCCCATTACTACCCCAAACTCATAAATCAACCAGTGGAAAAAGCAGTTCCACAGGAGTGAGCCCACATATCCCCCACAGAATCTGTCAGCAGAACTGGTTCTTTTTCGTGCTGCTTTGTGTCATGGCCCAGCCTAATATTACCTATCCACTATACTGACTCTCACTGGTGGGTATTGTGATCCTACCCTGCCAGGTAGGCTCCTAGCCGTAGCT